GGATTATCAAGTGGTGAATTTACACTTTGGAATGGATTGACTTTTAATTTTGAAACTATTTTACAGGTATGAAATCATTTCTTTTATCAAATAAATTTTATTATTATTATTCCTTTCTTGATTCCTGGGAGCAATTTGTCAAAAGGGCTTGAAGGGTAAACACACACACACACACATAATTAGATTAGGATTTAGATTTTAATATTGGAAGTGTGAAAAGTTCAAATAAATAAAGATCAAATAAAAAAGAAGCATTTTTTTTGTTGTTTGTGAAAGATCACAACTATATTGTGATTTTTTATCTTAAAAGCATTGCTATATTAATCTTTAATATAATAATAAATTACAAATAATTTCTATTTGAGGAGGAAGGCAATTTTTTATTTTTCAAAGTTCTTAATATATTTATATGTTTTAATCTAATTATTGAGAAAAAAAAAGAAAATAAATAAAGATTGACCAAAAACATTTTTTGCTTTATTTTTATTGTCTTTTTTTTTTTTGGATGGATTCCTCAATAATTAAATGTTATTATTATTATTATTATTATTATTATTAAAAAATGACAATTAAAGGCTCATGAATCAGCAGTTCGAGCCATGAAGTGGTCTCATAATGATAATTGGATGGTAACTGCAGATCATAAAGGTATCATAAAATATTGGCAGTCCAACATGAATAATCTGAAGATGATTGAAGGTCATAAAGAGGCTATAAGAGATTTATCGTATGTAAATTATTAATTACTATTAGTGATATTATGGTTAGTCAATAAACTACTTTTTTTATATAGAAATGTAATCAATTTAGATTTTCGCCATCTGATACAAAGTTTGCTACATGTTCAGATGATGGTACAATCAAAATATGGGATTTCAATGAAGGGATTGAAGAAAAGACATTATCAGGTTAAATAATTAAATTTTTTGTTGTTGCTGTGATCTTTAATGAAGTAAGTTAATAATAGTCATTTGTATTGTTATAAAAATAAAGGACATGGATGGGATGTAAAAACAGTTGATTGGCATCCTTATAAATCGCTTTTAGCATCTGGTTCTAAAGATAATTTGATTAAATTTTGGGATCCAAAATCAGGAAAAAATATTGATACTTTGTATGTGGTTTTTTTTAATGTTTTATTCAGATAATTATATTGATATAATTTTATTATCAAAAAACACAGACATGGTCATAAAAATATGATTCTTGGTTTACAATGGAATAAGAATGGCAATTGGTTGGGAACTGCAGCAAAAGATCAATTAGTCAAAGTTTATGATATTAGGATGATGAAGGATTTACAAACCTTTCGTGGACATAACAAAGAAGTTTGCAGTATGTATATAATAATGATGATGGTGGTTTGGCTTTCTTTTTTCCTTTAAAAAATTATATTAATTTTATTTTGATAATTTAAAAGGTATTTCATGGCATCCATTTCATGAAAGATTGGTTGTTACTGGCGGTTCTAATGGGTGTTTAATGTTTTGGCTTGTTGGGTAAAAATGATAATATTTTTTGAAAATATTTATATCATATCATATGGTTATTAAAGCAATATTTATTTATTTATTTAGACAAGAATCAGTGGTTGAAATAGTCGAATTTGCTCATGATCAAAATGTTTGGTCACTTGATTGGCATCCAATTGGGCATATATTGGTGTCTGGTTCTAATGATCATTCTACAAGATTTTGGACAAGAGCTCACCCAGGTGATACTGTACAAGACAAATATCATGTTGGTAGACAAAAGGCTGAAGAACTTGGATTGAAGGATGTTGATGAAGAAGAAGGTAACTAATTTGATTCTATTAAAGATTTTATTGATTAAAAAGCAATTTTAATTCATTTTCAAATATTTAATAGAAGAACAAGAACCATTGGTTCCAGGATTATCATTTTCAAGAAATGGTAGTTTGATGGCAGGATATTTACCTATGCCTATGAACCCACAGAATCACAATTCAATGATAAAATCACCATCCTTACCTCCTTTCCAACCACATCCACAACAACAGCAATTACTTCAGCAGCAGCAGCAGCAGCAGCAGCAGCAACAACAACAACAACAACAACAACAACAAATGCTGCCACAACTTCCTCCATTCCAACCACCACCATCATCAACACAACAGCAATCACCAATATTACTCCATCAACATCAACAACAATTATCGTCATCATCATCATCATCAATGCCACCACAAATGCCACTATTTCAACCACCACAATCAATCCCACATCAACAACAGCAACCAATTACACAATCACAAATGCCATCATTTCAACCACAGTCACAATTTCAAATGCAACAACAACTACCTCATAATCAACAACAACAACCAATGCAACAACTGCCACAATTGTTCCAGCAAGCACCACTGCCACATCAACAATCAATTTTTCAATCTTCAACTCAACAACAACAACATCACCAGCCATTATTACCACCACAAATTCATCAACAGTCACAGACTCAAAATCAAAATCAACAATATCAAAATCAACAGCAACATCAACATCAACAGCAACAATCATTGCCTTAAAGAGTAGTAATTAAAAATTAATATATTTGAAAATTGAAACTTTTTTTTCTTTAATAAATCACTTTTTTCATTAAAATATATTATTTATTATATTATTTTTCACGGAATATATTTTTGCCACTGCTTTGTTAATATTAACTAGATTTAAATAATAAAAACAAAAATAAATCGTGTTTATGATTATTGAAGGATTTGTATGGTTGGCTCGGTCTAAAGTCTTCCTGTTGCTGCGCCACGCACTCCAATTTCAAAAATAGCGATTTCGCGTGTCATAGAGATCGGTGTGATTTGATTGGTTCTCTTGTTATGCTGACATGTCCTTATAACGGATGTCACTATAACGAGATAAAATTATTTTTTGTAAAATTTATGTTCTCATACTTACTTGTATAACAGGAGTAAATTTATATTTATAAAATTTGTTTTTGAAAAAATGTCACTATAACGGGCTGCCTTATAACAGGAATGACCTGCATTACTTTTTCAATAGAACTTAAATCATTCAATAGAGGAAATGATTTTGCAAAAGATAACCTTTTTGAATGAATAGGGAAAATTTTCTTATTCAGTGACCAGCAGAGCATCTAATCAACAAATGTGTTTTACCAGAATTAGAATTTAACGGTGATTCTCTATTTATCTGTTTTATCTGTGTTACATTTTTATTATTTATTTCGTAAGACTTGGTGTGTCTAAAACACAATATTGTGTTTAAAACACAAAAGTGTGATTATACAAGAAACACACAAAGTGTGTTTAAAGCACAATATTGTGTTTTAGACACAATATTGTGGTAAAAGCATTCATAATTGAATTAATTGTATATAAGAAGCTTGAATTGACATACTTGTAAAGTAACTTTGTAACAAATTAAAATTAATAAATTAGTTTTGACTAAATGTTTTCTTAAATCACTAATAAAACTAATTTGTTAGTAATATCCAATTCATTCTGATCCACATAATCATAAATTTACATTATTATCATCGATTAATACACTCTCCCAAATAATAATTGGTGACAAATGTTAAAATGCTAAAATTATGCTGAACAGAATTGCAAGGAAATATGATGACAGATGTTCTAATTTTAGGTTGAGACTTTATGGACTGCAATTTTGTAGTAAACATTTCATGACTAATAATAATATTTATTGTCTTGGGCACTTATTAACTCATAAGTCTCACTGTAGTTATATATGGATGTCTGTCCTTTTTTCATTACTTTTCTAAAAAAAAATTATTATCTAATATTTTACTGTAATACTTTTTTTATTATTTATTTTATTCACTTTGTTCGTTTACTGGGAGGTGTTATTGTTTGGAGGACTATATGTTTTAGAGGAGTTTAAAGCCATTAGCAATAAATAAAATTAATTTATCAATTATGTTGCTAACATGTCCAATCACTTGCTTTAGGGATTATTATTAAACCAAAAAAATCACAAATACCAAAATAACAATTTAAAAGATCAATGGCATTATTTTTATTGTTGTTGTTGTTGTTGTTATATTATTAATATATTATCTTCCTATTTTGTTGTGATTGTTTTTTTTTGAAATGGAATTAAACCATTTTTTACCCAACATGGTTTTGGCCAAACCTTTTTTAATAAATTATTATTATATAAAAACTAAAATGAGCAAATTAAATATAACAGATATTACTGATACAAATATGTGTTTTATCATTTACCCTAGCAAATACACGTCCACGAATTAAAGCATGAGGTACAGGACCATAGGATCTGGAATCAATGGAATTATTCATATTGTCACCTTGTATCCAAATATGACCTTTAGGAACCTATTAATTCATATGTAAATTCATGGATTATTAACTGGTTGATTGTTATCATATCATCATTTACTATAATAACTTACATTAATATAAGTTCTATCTTTTAATGTTGGATCAACACAAATAAAATCTCCTGGCTTTTGAAAAATTAAAATGATAATTAATTAAAAATCAAATCAACATAAATAACAACAACATTATCAATAACAATTAATAATTATAGTTACCATTCCTATTATCCTTTTACAAATTAAATTATAAGGATTTGTAGGTGATATACAAATAACCACATCACCCACTTTCAAATGTTTAAATTTGGAACTTAAATGTTCTATTGCAAGTATATCACCATCTACATTAAATGTTGGAAGCATAGATGGTCCTATACACTATTTTATTAAATTTTCAATTAACTAATATATATATGTGAACTTGAAATAAATAATAATTGAATAAATAAATAAATACTGCTGAGACTTGAAAAACATGTTGTGCACAAAAATGTATAAAACAACCACACTTTACTAAACTTATAAATTTATTAAAAACTGGCTTTGTGTGTGTTATTGGAATAGCTTTCATTTTATATTTCTAATTAAATAATTTAGAAATTTTGATAAAAAATTTTTACATTACAGTCAGGGTTATTACCATAAATGGAAATTAAATCTAAAGATGACCCCCTGAATACGGGCTCCGAACAAACTTGGAGTTTTCAAAAATTGATAAACTTTGTGAAGATCTCAAAACCTATTGATTGTTTAGGGTCCTACCTTATCACATCATCATACAGAAAATTTTCTCTGGTTACTTTTTTTTTTTTACTATTTAACTTACATGGAAGAGTTCTTTTCTTTATATTGTTGTGCACAAAAATGTATAAAACAACCACACTTTACTAAACTTATAAATTTATTAAAAACTGGCTTTGTGTGTGTTATTGGAATAGCTTTCATTTTATATTTCTAATTAAATAATTTAGAAATTTTGATAAAAAATTTTTACATTACAGTCAGGGTTATTACCATAAATGGAAATTAAATCTAAAGATGACCCCCTGAATACGGGCTCCGAACAAACTTGGAGTTTTCAAAAATTGATAAACTTTGTGAAGATCTCAAAACCTATTGATTGTTTAGGGTCCTACCTTATCACATCATCATACAGAAAATTTTCTCTGGTTACTTTTTTTTTTTTACTATTTAACTTACATGGAAGAGTTCTTTTCTTTATATATAGAGTGATGAAAATTGCTTTTTTTCGCTTGTGCTTTGTTGATACCTAAAAAGGCAAATGATTGTTATACACGTGATCAAAATGTCTTACCTGGGGGTGGAGCATAGTGGACTTTCGATTTTAACACTAAATGTGACATAAAGTGATGATCATATTATATTGTGCAACTAACAAAATTAATTGAAAAAGTACTCATTAATGTGACATAAAAATTCCACAAACAAATATGCATGAAACTTTGCATAAACATTATTTGGGTGTTTTATATACTGAAAGTTCTTTCCCATCAAGTCAATCAAGTTCAGTTGCAGAGATGAACAAGAAGCGAAGTTTATAGGTTGATGACAGTAAATCTGCATGGAGCTTTCTGAAATTGTCATGATTTAGGTACCTTTTATTATTATAATTTACTTTGTTATTATACAATACTACTGATCTTTTACATTGTCAATATTTTATATGAACTGTT